GTAAATGTAGGGTTTCTAATGTGTATGTAATGTATGTAGTGTAAATGTAATGTATGTTATGTATATGTATTGTACGTCATGTATTTGTAATGTATGTAATTTATGTAATGTATGTAATGTGTGTCATGTATTTCTAATGCATGTCATGTTTGTATAGTGTGTGCAATGTATTTAATGTAAATGTAGGGTATGTAATGTGTATGTAATCTTTAAAATGGGAATGTAATACAACTGAAGGGTATGTAATGTATGTAATGTATTTGCAATGTGTGTAATGTGTATGTAATGTTTGTAATGTATGTATTTGCAATGTATGTCATGTATATGTAATGTATGTCATGTAAATGTAGTGTGTGTCATGTAAATGTAGTGTGTAATGTAAATGTAATGCATGCAATGTAAATGTAATGTATGTAATGTAAATGTAATGTATGTAATGTATGTAATGTATGTAATGTATTTGTAACGCAAACAATGTAAATGTAATGCATTTAATGGATATGTGCTCCGTGTAATGCGCATGTAATGTGCATGTAATGTGTATGTAGTGTCTGTAATGCATGTGATTTTTGTACTGTATGTAGTGTATATGTAATGTAAGTGTATATGTAATGTATGGCATGTATTTGAAATGCATATCATGTATGTGTAATGTATGTCATGTAAATGTAATGTATGGACTGTAAATGTAATGTATGTAATGTTTTTTGTAATGCCTGTAATGTAAATGTAATGTAAGTCATGAATATGTAAAGTATGTCATGTATATGTAGTGTATCATGTTTTTGTGTCATGTATGTAATGTATGTGATGTATGTAATGTATGTGATGTATGTAATGTATGTAATGTATGTAATGTATGTAATGTATGTAATGCATTTAATGTATGTAATTGTATGTAATTGTATGTAATGCGTGTACTGTATGTAATGTATGTAATGTATGTAATGTATGTAATTGTATGTAATGTATGTAATGTATGTAATGTATGGTATGTATGGTATGTATGTATGTGTGGTATGTATGGTATGTATGGTATGTTTGGTATGTATGGTATGTATGGTATGTTTTGTATGTATGGTATGCCTGGTATGTATGGTATGTATGGTATGTATGGTATGTATGGTATGTATGGTATGTATGGTATGTATAGTATGTTTGGTATGTATGGTATGTATGGTATGTATGGTATGGTATGGTATGGTATGGTATTGTTTTGTATGGTATGTAATGTATGTATGAATGTAATGTAATGTAATGTAATGCAATGTAATGTAATGTAATGTATGTATGTATGGTATGCACGTATGTATGTATGCATGTATGTATGTATGTACGTATGTATGTATGTATGTGTGTATGTATGTATATATGTAATGTATGTAATGTATGTAATGTATGTAATGTATGTAATGCGTGTAATTGTATGTAGTTGTATGTAATGCATGTAATTGTATGTAAATGTATGTAATGTATGTAATGTATGGTATGTATGGTATGTATGGTATGTATGGTAAGTATGGTATGTAAGGTATGTATGGTATGTATGGTATTTATGGTATGCATGGTATGTATGGTATTTATGGTATGTATGATATGCCTGGTATGTATGGTATGTATGGTATGTATGGTATGTATGGTATGTATGGTATGTATGGTATGTATGGTATGTATGGTATGTATGGTATGTTTGGTATGTATGGTATGTATGGTATGTATGGTATGGTATGGTATGGTATGGTATGGTATGGTATGGTATGTATGGTATGTATGGTATGTATGGTATGTATGTATGTATGCATGCATGCATGCATGGATGTATGTATGTATGTATGTACGTATGCATGTATGTATGTACAGTATGTACGGTATGTACGGTATGTATGGTATGTATGGTATGTATGGTATGTATGGTATGTATGGTATGTATGGTATGTATGTATTTTTGTATGTATGTATGTATGGTTGTATGTATGTATGGTATGTATGGTATGTTTGCTTTGGTATGGCATGGTATTGCATGGTATGGCATTGTACGGTATGGTATTGTTTTGTATGGTATTGTTTTGTCTTGTGTGGTATCATTTGGTTTTGTACCTTTTTGTCGTATTGTATTGTATCTTGTTGTTTGGTACTGTATGGTATTGTTTGGTGTTGTACGGAATTGTATGGTATTGTATGGTCTTGTACGGTCTTGTATGGTATTGTATCTTGTTGAAGGGTATTGTAAGGTATTTTGGTATTGTATGGTGTTGTACGGAATTGCATGGTAATGTATGGTCTTGTAACCGTGTTTGGTCTTGTATTGTATTGTATGGTATTAATTTGTATTGTATGGTGCTGTATGGTCTTGTGTTGTATTGTATCTTGTTGCATGGTATTGTATGTTATTGTTTGGTGTTGTACGGAATTGTATGTTATTGTATGGTCTTGTACGGTCTTGTATGGTCTTGTATGGTCTTGTACGGTATTTTTTTGTATTTTTGTTATTTTTTGGTATTGTATAGTATTGTATGGTTTGATATGGTATGATAATGTATGGTCTTGTATGGTAATGTATGGTAATGTCTGGTAGCGTTTGTTAATGTATGGTATTGTATGGTATTGTTTGGTATTGTATGGTATTGTTTGGTATTGTATGGTATGTATGGTATGTATGGTATGTAAGGTATGTACGGAATGTGTATGGTATGTATGGTATGTAGGGGGTATGGTCTGGTATGGTATGGTGTTTATAGGCATGTATATTGATGTACTGGTATGTATGGTGTGTATGGCATGTATGGCATGTATGGCATGTATGGCATGCATGGCATGTATGGTACAAATGGTATGTATGGTATGCATGGTGCGTATGGTATGCATGGTATATATGGTGTGTCTGGTATGTATGGTATGTATGTTATGGTATGTTTTGGTTTGGTAATGTGTGGTAATGTAATGTACTGTAATGCAATGTAATGTACTGCAATGTAGCGTCAAGTATTGCATTGTAATGTATGGTAATGTGTTGTGATGTATTGTAATGTAATGTAATGTAGTGTAATGTAGTGTAATGTAGTGTAAAGTTTTGTAATGTAATGTATTGTAATGTAGCGTAATGCATTGAAACGTAATGCAATGTATTGTAATGTAACGTACTGTAATGTAATGTATTGTAATGTAATTTAACCTACTGTAATGTAATTTAAGGTATTGTAATGTAATGTATTGTAATGTAAGGTGCTGTAATGTAATGTGATGTTTTGATTGTAATGTAATGTAATGTATTGTAATGTAAGGTGCTGTAATGTAATGTAATGTTTTGTTTGCAATGTAATGTATTGTATGTAATGTAGTGTGTTGTATGTAATGTAATGTATTGTATGTAATGTAATGTGTTGCATGTAAAGTAATGTGTTGTATGGATTGTATGTAATATATGTACTGTATGTAGTGTATGTAATGTTTGTAATGTGTGTAATCTATGTTTTGTATGTTTCGTTTGTATGTATGCATGCATGTATTTATATATGTATGTATGTGTGTATGTATGTGTGTATGTATGTATGCATGTATGTATGTATGTATGCATGCATGCATTTGTGTATGGTTGTATGTATGTATTGGTGTGTATGTATATGTGTATGTATGTATGTATGTATGTATGTATGGTATGTATGGTATGTATGGTATGTATGGTATGTATGGTATGTATGGTATGTATGGTATGTATGGTATGTATGGTATGTATGGTATGTATGGTATGTATGGTATGTATGGTATGTATGGTATGCATGGTATGTATGGTATGTATGGTATGTATGGTATGTATGGTATGTATGCATGCATGTATGTATGTAATGTATTGTATTGTATTGTATTGTATTGTGTTGTATTGTACTGTATTGTATTGTATTGTATGTATGGTATGTATGGTATGTATGGTATGTATGGTATGTGTGGTATGTATGTATGTATGTATGTATGTATGTATGTATGTATGTATGTATGTATGTGTGTATGTATGTATGTATGTATGTATGTATGTATGTATGTATGTATGTATGTATTTATGGTATGTATGGTATGTATGGTATGTATGGTATGTATGGTATGTATGGTATGTATGGTATGTATAGTATGGTATGGTATGGCATGGTATGGTATGGTATGGCATGGCATGGTATGGCATGGTATGGTATGGTATGTATGTATGTGTGTATGTATGTAAACATTTGTGTATGTTTACATACACATATTAGACGCATTCACATCTTAAACGCGCAGGCCGGCACACATTATTTTTCAGTGCCAGCTTCGGTAAAATCAAGACAACCTCGATTTCCAACTGGAATCCTGGGGTATTCATGTTAACATCCGTTCTTCACCCATGCTCAACCCGCACTTTACCCGTACTCGACCCGTACTCCCCCGTATCAATCCATGCCTTTAGTGGGGTGAAAAAACCTTGGGAGTGTCTATGCAAAAGGTGGTCTCTTTTCACATCGCAGGATTTTCCTGGATTTCTGCAGGTTTGGAAGCTCAACGTAAAGACACCCACAGGATACCAGACAGATGCATGTTTTCTATGTTAGTTTTGAAAGAGTGAGAAGACTCAAGAACTCGAAAGCGATCATGACCGTGAATGTAGAGGTGCTCGCATCAGGCAACGATGCCCATTGGGTTCCTGACTTGGCATCATGTAATGTCTAGGCATGAAAGAAGAAATTCAGTTTGCCTTAAGTGAACAGGCAGCACTAGCGAAACTAGTCATTCTATTTGATCTGGCTTTTGCCTTTCCGCTTTTCTGAACATTTTGAACAAAATCAAGATGAAGGACAAGTTGCACAAGTAGACAGGTCAATTCAATATGTTGCTGCCTGTGCTGATGAATTTTTGCTATGCTTTCGAGTGCTCTTGCTCCCAAATTTTCAGTCGAAACTGCCTTCATTCCTCATTCATCTCTATAAATGTGTCTTGCGTGGTCTATTTGCAACTTTATGTCTAGCTGAAGCCAGGGCTCTGAAGTCGCCAAAAGGCAAGCTTCAGCCGTGACCTAAGCACAATGATCTTATTGTGTTTCTACTGTTCAGTGTTTAAAGGTTTGAATGTTCTGAAACCAGTCTTCCCAGCATCCACAGATGTGGAACAGTGCAGTTCTTGAAACCTTGCCCAAACATGGCAAGCCCTGCGAATTTGTGGCAGATCAGGTGCGCAAGACTGTCTCCGCGGCTGCTTGGCTGAGATGTGTTCATTCAGGGTTGAAGCCTCCAAAGGATGCACCACGAAGATGTGCTCCCAGCAAGAAACGGCTCATCTCTGTGCTTGTGCTGTGCTCACCGTGATGGTTTTCTCTTTCGAATTTGCCTAGAATTTAAGTCATTTGCAGTTACTGTAAGAGCTTGTCGATCGTCACGTACTGTGGCTAGGAGAGGAAGTCAACCACAGGCCCCACACACACATGTCAGAGGGCATGGGGTTCAAAAAAATGGCATCAATGAAACATTATTTTAAGGGATGAAAAAAAACAATATTCATGTTTCCTGCGCTGGTGCAGTGTTTTGGCATGCTTTGGCCCTTTTCAAATCTTGTGGTATCTCTCGGTCCTCTAGTCCTCTGGTCCTCTTAATATTTTTTGATCCCTCACCCATGCCAGAGTGTGTGAGGCAAAACAACCCCGCCCTGCAAGGCCGCAGCAGATGAGTGGTGTTTAACAAACGGTTCTTTTTGGATGAGTTTGTGGCTGTTTTCCTGCTTTGGTATCATGATGACTTTGATATGTATCCAAGAATTGTCACGCCCTACTCGGAGGAAGTTTAGAAGTCAAACTTCCGACAATATGGACAGATGAAAAGTAGAGATGGGATGAGTCAGAGAAGAGAAGAGAAAAGAAAGAAGATCAGAGAAGAGAAAGTCAGAAGAAAGCAGATGCAGATGCGCGAAAAGGTAGGAAAGTCGCGAAACACTGTGTTTTTCAATGATTTGTGGCTCCGGAGGGTCGAAAAGTAGGCTCGCTAAAGCGGCGGGTGCGGAGCCATCTGACCAGATGAGAGATGAACAATTGCAAGGTGTTGTGGCGCGGCGCGAGGCACATTTCGAAGTCAAAATGTACAAAACACCTCAGCTTCGGAGCACTTTTAGAAGTTGAGATGTCGAACAAGTGCACGCCGTTGTGGCACGAAGCAAATTTGCAAGTGAAAAAGTTAAGAGCACCTCACGTTCGGAGCACTTTTGGAAGCTGAGATGTCGAAAAAGTGCACGCCGTTGTGGCGCGAAGCACATCTCGCCGAAGTCAAAAGTGGAAACAACTGACGGGTTCGGAGCAGCTTTTGACGTTCAGATGTCGATTTGCATGGCAGGCGCAAGGGGTTCTGCACATTGCCAAAAGTGAGCAAAACGTGAGGGTTCTATAGCACACTACACTCCACGACATTCCACTACACTACACTCAAATACACTACACACACTACGCTACGCTACACTACACTACAATACGCTACGCTACACTACACTACACTACAGTACGTTCTACCCTACACTCCACTCCACTCCACTCCACTACACGCCACTACGCTCAAGTAAACTACACTACACGACAACTACAACTACAACTACACTACAACTACACTACAGCTACAACTACAACTACAATTACAACTATACTACATTACACTACACTACAGTAATTACCCTGCAACACACTATACTCCACTCCGCTACACTACACTGCGCTGAATGACACTACACTACACTACAGCCACACCTACAGCTACAACTACAACTGCAACTGCAACTGCAATGGCCACTACACTACATTGCACTACACTAATTACATTACACTACACTACATTACACTACATTACGCTAACTACAGCTACAAATCCACCTACAAATCCACCTACAACTACAACTACAACCACAACTACACTACATAAGACTACACTACACTACACTACACTACACTAATTACATTACACTACAGTACGCTACACCCCACCCCGCTACACTACACTACACCTCACTACACTACACTACACCCCACTACACTACAACGCACTACATTCAATTACAGTACACTACACTACACCATACCACACCACACCACGTGACACTACACTACATTAACTACACAACATTAATACAATTACAACTACCTTTACAACTACAACTACAATACATTACATAACACTACCCTACAATACACTGCACTACAACTATAACTACAGCTACAACTGCGTTACACTAATGGCATTACACTACGCTACACTACGCCACACTACACCACACCACACTACACTACACCACACCACACTACACTACACTCAATTACACTACACTACGCTACACTACGTACATTACATTATATTAGGTTACATTACATTACTACCTTACATTACATTATCAACACAACATTGCATTACATTACACTTCACTGCACTGCATTGCATTGCGTTGCGTTGCATTGCATTACATGACATTACATTACACCACCAGACATGCAACTGCAACTACACTACACCAATTACACTACACCACAACTACAACTCCACTACAACTACACTAACAGCTGCACTACACCACACTACATCCAGCAGTTATGGGTGAGGTGACCGACCAGGTGACCACTGCAACCATTGCAACCGCTCCAAAAAACACAGCTCCCACCACCTTTCGGTCCATCAGTGGATTCGCTCTGCCATCCGTGATTCACAGCAACCAACCTCTCTTATAGGTTTCCTATTTTTGAAACTTCCGCCGCCGCCTTGTGCGGTACTACTGGTAGATTGTGTGGAACAATCGAGGTAGCTTCCGTAATGCTTTCAAACGATATTCGGTGGTGTTCTCATTTGGTTTTACAACATCAGCATCGTCCATTGTCGTCCAATGCGTCTCCAATAGGCAATCTAACCAAATATATCAAACACACATCAGGTACACTACATGTGTGGTGGTTGAGAGGGGGGTTGGGGTTGATATCGACTGCGCTTGTATTGTTGAAGAACTGCTTGCTCGGTACAGGCGATCGTCTGTGAGAGGCACCACTGTCTTGGATCTCCGGCACTGCGCCAAGCCGTAGACAGATCTCTCAACAAAAGACTTTGTGCAGAGTTTCCTGAGTTGTACAAATGTCAGATTCATACTTCTCTGGAGAGAAGAACATGAAGAAGGAATTACGTGGATCGCAGAGGTCAAATTTTTGGGTTTTCCATGGTTTTCATTAAGTTTCATTAACTTTTCATGAAGTTTTCATGCATTTCATGCGATGTGGGAATTACTCCGTGACCAAGGCCGTTCCGCCAGGATAGCCAGGAATTGGTGAGTTTCCCAAGCGCAGATTTTCTTAGATTTCGTTTCCAAGAGCGGGAGTGTAGTGACAGTACGATGTGATACGGTATACGTATATTAACGCCTGTGTGTATGCATGTGTATATGTGGTGTCCCCTTCAATGTCATGTGTCCATCATTGGCCACCAAGGGCAGCATTTGCAGCATGGACCATCAAGTGGAGAGTTTACTGCGAACCGCCTTGGCTGCGTGGAAGGAGTGGAGCCCTCAGCCTAACGCCGGAGCCACGTACGCATCAGATACATCATGGAAGATCAGTGGTGTGGCGTGATTTGACGTGTTTGGCTACTTTGATTTGATGCTTTTGGATGAGGTTCACCTTTCAGTACATCCGAGATGAAGACGAAGATGAATCTGAGCAAGAAGTTGAGGCCTTCTGCCACCTCTGCGGTTGAAGATATCAGTGTTCTACAATATATATATATATATATACATAGTATATAAACTGATCAGATATGTGTACAGTATAGACCATGTTACATGTAGTACATATGTTTGTATATGTGCTGCAGCCATTTTAGTGCTTTTAGCTACCTTCGAGCTAACCGAGTGAAAAGGTGCTGAACAGTGCTCAGGAGTGTTCATCAGATTTTAGAGCCCAAATTCTCTATTCATGGTAGCGGAGCTGATGTTCTGATACCCAGCTGTGAATGTGTAGGTGTCGACGCCGAGCTGATTCAGCTCTGGCGCGCTCACCTCGTGCCAACTGGAAAAGGTTGACACTCAAGCTCCTGAAAATCAGGAAGATCCAAAGATACTTTCATAGCCTTGGGAGTGCATCTCCAAAGGTACCCAAGGGTTCTCTTGAATCAGGTCTCAAAGCGCCTGAAGAACGACTAAGGATGGCTCAGCAACAGCAGCCACCTCAGCAATCAGGCACTCCACCAGCACCAGCACAAGGACAGACCAACGGTCCCAACATGTCCCAGATGGTTATGCAGACGGATGGCCCAATTGACTCAGGGTCAGGCGCAGCTGAATCAGGCAATGGCCGAGGCTATGAACCAGCAGCTACAGATCAACAGAAATGTTGAGAGGTCTGTTGAGTACAAAGACAGATCAGAGTTGAAAGGCATACCCAAACCTGATAAGTTCACTGGAGCATCAGGCACTTGGGATAGTTGGTGGTACAAGTTTAAGACTTGGGTTGAAAGTTGCCACAAGAATGCTGTGAAGATTGTGGCACAAGTTGAATCTCAGTGTGACAAAGAGATCACTGAGTCAGGTCTAGAAGTAGACTTTGATGAAGGTGCCGAGCTTGTTTCAGCTCAGGCTCGAGAAGCCCTCATATCATTGACTGTGGGAGAAGCGTTGGAAATTGGCAAGAACACATCTCGTGGTAGCCACTTTGGCCTAGAAGCCATGAGACGACTGTTGTGCAAATATGATCCTCAAAATCCTCAAGCTAATTCAGCCTTGTTGAAAAAGGTTCTGCATCCAAGTCAATGCAGTCTTGATAAGCTTCGAGAAGGGCTTCTGAGTTGGGAGAACTTGAAAAGAAAGTATGAAGACAGGAGGAAGAAACCACTTGAAGATGACATCTCCAGGAGTTGTCTGCAGCAAATGTGTCCCAACAAGCTGCAAGATCATTTGGACTTGCAGGCTTCGAGATTGACCACGTATGACCAGGTGAAAGCTGAAGTTCTGGCCTATCTCGAGAATGTCGAGACCAGAAAGAAGCAAAGTCAGGAGCCGTTCCCACGGATGTGGATTCCCTTGCTAAGGGTAAGGGAAAAGGAAAACAAGATAAAGGGAAAGGCAAAGGTAAGTCCAAAGGTAAAGACAAAGGGAAGAATCAATCTCCATCTTGGTCAAACAATCCCTACACCAAGAACTCTGGAAACAATCAGTCTTGGACCAATCAGTCTTGGAATCAGCAGTCTTGTTATAAACAAAACACCAATGACTCCAAGAGCAAAAGGAAAGGCAAGAAAGGTCAAGACAAAGGTAAAGGTAAAGGTGATCAAGGTAAAGGTCGCAAAGTTGCCAATGTTGAGTCTGATACTTGGGCTCAAGAGCAACAACCAGCAGCAGCATCTGGTGACCAACCTGAACCAGAAGTCACTGCGCTGTTTACCTTGGAAGACGCTATGCCGCCTAAGTCTGAAGCGCAAGAGGAATCACCCCGTCGTGGTCGAAGTCCAAGGAGAGCTACACTCCAAGCACCTTCAAGGAGCACTGTGACCAGGAGCGCTATGGTGATGGCTCAGAGTGCTTTGGCATCAGCTTCTGGGTCCAACAAGGAGCTTTTCAGTAAGATGATTGCTCAGGCTGAGAGCGCTGTCAAAGATGCTCAGGACAAAGGGCTCCAAGCAAATCAGGCCCTTAAGGAACGCCAAGAAGCCCTGGACAAGTTGAAGAAAGAGGCAGCCCAGCATCAGAAAGAGGCCAAAGAGGCAATGGCCAAAGTGAGGGCAGAAGGCCGTGCTGCTTCAGCACCGGCTGCACCCTCTCGTCGGTTGCAAGCCGACCTAGATGCTGGAGTACATGCAAGAGCTGCCAGGAAAGCAGAAAAGAGTAGGCAGAGAGCTGCTAGTCATCGAGCAGCCACTGCAAAAGATAGAACAGCTAGCTTCAAGAACTATGAGCTGGCAACCCATGGACAAGCCAACCCTGACAAGTGGGACAAGGAGGACATTGGAGATCTTCCTGAATCTCCCAAGGCAAGAAAGTTGGAACCCAAGCGCCATAGAGGAGGACATCACAGGTCTGAAAGACGAAGGGCAGATGAAGCTAGAAAGAAGGCCAGCGAGGACAAGATGAAGGAGATGAGCAAAGAAGGAATCCCAAAATGGATTCATGACAAGTTCGAGATTTCCTCGGAAGAGACCACTGATGAGTGTGAATTTGCCAGCAGACTTGAGAAGCTGAAGAACGATCCTGAAGTTCTCAGCAAGTTGGACAATGTCTTGAAGGAGGCCTATGAGAAGGCTTATGGTGAAGTTCTCGACCTAGGATCATCGGAAGAGGTCGAATCAGACGATGTACCATTCAATCAGGAACCTGCACCAGGCATGGAAGATGTAGATCGTCATTGGGAGACTTCCTCTCGAGAGCTCATGTCATTCAAGGAGTTGCACGAGAAGTCCAAAACTGTGTCCAACAAAGGACATCCCTATGTGAAGTGCCAGGCATGTGGAAAAGCACTGAACTCCATGAGTCTTGCAAGCTTTTGGCAACATGTGGAGAGCAAGAATTGCTATCCTCAACGCGCCCTGGAGTTTTGGAAGAAAGAACACTTTCAAGCAAAGGCTGAAAGAGAAGCAAAGGCTGAAGGAGAGGCATCCAAGAAGCGCCCCATGGATGATGCAGAAGCCAAAGATGAGAAAAAGCGCCAAGAGATTGCTAAGGATGAAGAATAGAAGAAGCGCAAGCAGCACTTTGAGGAGCACTATGAACACTTCAGGTACAAGGGTAAAGATGATGTGAAGCCTGAAGTGAAGAAGATCCCCAGGAGGCCAGGGGAGAAAGAGAAGGAGAAAGAAGCAAAGAGAGAAGAGAAGGAGAGATCAGAGAAGGAGGATGACAAGTCACCCAGCAGGGCACCAATTGAGCTGAAGTCCATATCCCCATCGAGAGCGCCTCAGGACAGCCGGCCTGATTCAGCCCAGGCGTCCAAGGGCAAGGGGAAATTCAGCACAGGTGCCAAGAGATTCTTGGAAAAGGCAGTGCGTGAAGCTGCCAACTTTATGGAAAGAAAAGTCAGGAAGAAGAAGGAGAAGTCACCATCTCCCAAGCTCAGGGAGCATTCACCAGGAGGAGGAGTTCGATCAGACTCCAACCTCGACTTCCTGTGAAGTTTGGCATCTCCGGTGGATACCATTGTTTGGGCCACCGTTGACTCAGGGGCTGCAACCAGTTGCCTACCCAAGGAGATGGCACAGTCTTTGGAGTTGGCTATGACGCCTGTGGATGAGAAGCCGTTTACCAATGCATCAGGACAACCAGTCCAGGTGCACGGCATATGCAACCCCATGGTGACAATGGGTGAGAAAGGAGGCCCACAAGTCAAAGGTGTGGGACAGTTCCGGGCAATGGATGTGGCAAAGCCATTGCTATCTGTGTCCAAGCTGGTTGAGAAAGGCTGGACAGTGACCTTCGGCCCCAAAGGATCGTTCCTGCAAAGGGGAGCCAAGAAGGTACCAATCACAATGACTGGAGGAGTCTTCAAGATAGCCATGGATTTTCATAGGCAGCCCATAGAAGGGTTGAAGGCCTAAGTCCTGTGGAAACCACAGAGAGCGCAGGTGGCAGGTAGTGGAGATGATGAACCGGGCAGTAGTAAGCTAGGTTCTCAAGCACTACCAACTGCAGCAGCGCCGACGCAGAGGGAAAAAGAAGAGCATTTTGTCAGCCATTATCCTTTTAGGAGTTGGTGTGAACATTGCATTAGAGGCAAGGCAAAGGCAATGAGACATGTCAAAGTAGATCATTCAGATGAAACAGTTCCTGTGATCTCAGCTGACTATTGTTTCATGAATTCAGTGGATGACACTGTCATCACAGAGGAAGTGCAGAAAAAGCATGCACCAGTTTTGATAGTACATGATCGATGGTCCAAGTTGACCTACGCACACGTTTTGCCATACAAGGGAGTTACCCAAGGTCCTATTGGGTCTAAGTGTCTTTTGAATGACCTTAAGAAGTTTGGGTACCCCAAGATGGTCATGAGGTATGACCCAGAGCCTGCACTCAACTCCGTAGTTGAGGCAGCCAAGAATGGTTTTGACAAACAGTTGGTTTGGGAAAAAGTTCCCAAAGGAGTCTCAGAATCCAAAGCGGAAATTGAAAGAGCAGTTCAAGCTGTTGAATCTCAATCCAGGACACTCAGAAGTGCCTTGGAGACAAGCTATGGAAGAAAGGTGCCAGACGACCACCCAGTTTTGACATGGTTGGTTGAACATGCTAGCACCACTTACAATTTGTTTCACAGATCATTGGAAGTCAAAGATGGGAAGACACCGTACTCTAGACACCGTGGTCGTGAGTGGAGAGTGTCATTACCACCATTTGGGGAAACAATTGAATTCCTCAAAAGAGGTCACAAGTTTGAACAAAGATGGCACCAAGGAGTTTTCTTGGGAGTCAAAGACAATACCACTGAAAAGATAGTGGGGAATGCATCAGGTGTTTTCACTGTGCAAAGCATTCGACGCAAGAGTGCTGACGACAGATATGATGTCGAAACGTTGATGTCAGTCACTGGGGTTCCTTGGGATCCCCAGGCATCAAAAAGAGATGACATTTTGCTTCCTCAGATTGTTGAGGGAGATCAGCAGCCACTGGCGCCATCAGTGCCAGTTGATCCAGTTGAGTCACCAAAGAAGTCAACAAGACGACTTTACATCACCAAACGTGATTTGGACAAGTATGGCTACACAGGTGGTTGTGTCGCCTGTGATTCCACTAGACTTGGCAAGAGAGGCACTGGAGTTCATCACACTCCAGCCTGCAGAGAAAGGATGGAACGTCTGCTTCAAGCAGAAGAGGGCAACCTGAGAGTAGCCCAACATACGGCCAAGGTTGATTCTGAAATCACTGGTCAGAAACAAGAAGTGTCCGAAGAAGGCACAAAGATCCTTTATGGATATTCAAGTGAGAGACCACAAGGAGTCCCTCAAGGTTTCAAGGTGTTTGCGCGCCTTGACAGGAATGCAAGGTATCTCAAGGGTACTATGCCAGAAGGTCCCAGTGGGGATAGCGTCTGGTGGAGAGTCACCAGAGAGTTCAAGACAGGAGACATGATTAAGTCTGAACCAATAGATCCTAACTTAGGAGAAGACGTCATCAATGCACCGTTGATTGATGACACAGATATTGCCACTGAGCTGTGGTATTCTGCCACAGGGGAATCAGCGCCAAGTTTGCCAACTGCTGGAACATCAGGTCCAGTAGTACAAGATCCAACTGCAGATCCAGTTGCCGTAGGAGCTAGTGCAAGCTCAGCCTCAGCCAAGAGAGCAGGAGGCGAGCAAGAAGAAAGATCACACAAGAGGTTGGAGATGTCACCAACCAAAGGTCAGAAGAGACCTGCAGACTCAGCAGGCGAGACGTCAAAAGCCAAAGACAGCCGAGCTGCCCCAGCTCAGGCGTCTAAGGGCACCAAACGGCCACCTGAGAATGAGAGACCAGATGACATGGATGATATAGACCAATGTCTTATGAACCTGATCATGGAAGATCGGGAGAGGTATCTTCAGTCCATTGAAGGTGAAGAAGAGCCAGTTTGCGAAGAAACAATTCCTCTTCCACCGGAGTTGGAAGATGAAGCAGTTACATGGTATTATTATGATGATATCAGTGGAAAGATTTTGGACAGCAAAGGTGTAGAACAAGCCAGAAAAGATGAGGTCGAAATTATTGAAAGTTTTCCAGTTTGGGAAAAGATTCCCAGACACAAGATGCCCAAAGGGGTACGTACCAGTGGAACACGATGGGTAGATGTCAACAAGCAGGATGAGGAGAATCCACTTTATAGAAGTAGGTTAGTAGCTCAAGAAGTCAAGAAGGGCTCAGGTTTTGATGAGTTCTTCGCAGCCATGCCCAGTTTGTCTGCTTTGAAGATGCTAGTTACAATAGCCGTCACGTTTCAGTTGCCAGACGCTGGAAAAGCTGTCAAGGAAGCCTATCGCAAGCGTAGACTTCTAGGATTTTTGGATGTGAAACGCGCTCACTTTTATTCAGATGCGACGCGCGAGATTTACGTGGAGCTTCCTGCAGAAGCAAAGAAGCCTGGAGAAGATGTGGTAGGAAGATTGCTCAAGTCATTGTATGGAACAAGAGATGCACCTCTCAACTGGGAGTTGCAGATACAGAAGGTCATGTTGGCCTTAGGTTTCAAGCAAGGAAAAAGCAATCCATGCATATACTACCAGGCAGGCCGAGACCTCAGAACTGTTGTACATGGAGATGATTTTACCACAGCAGGAACATTTGACAACATCAAATGGCTTCATGAAGAGCTGTCAAAGAAGTGGAAATGTGTGGAACGTGGTATTTTAAGACCACCAGGAACACCAAACACCATCCAGGACATCAGAGTCCTGAACAGAATTATCACATGGAAGGAGAATGGAATTTGGTGGGAACCAGATGCACGTCATGCAGAGTTGGTGATTGATTTACTCGGAGATGGTCCCCGAGGAGCCAAAGTCAAGACACCACTTGCCAAAGGATCAGTGGAAGATCTTAAGGATGCCGCTGTTTTTCTCAACGATGAAGAAGCAACCCAGTATAGATCAGTTGCAATGCGAGCAGCTTATTTGGCACAAGACCGACCAGATTTGCAAGTAGCAACAAGATCTTTAGCACAAGGGCTACAACGACCAACTACCAGCCACATGCTTATGCTCAAAAGAGTTGCACGATACCTTAGGTATCGACCACGCATGGCACAATTCTTTCCTCATCAGAGCAAACTCAGTCCATTTGTGATGTGGTCTGATGCTGACCACGCTGGATGCGTGAAGACGAGGAAGAGCGTGTCAGGAGGCGTCTTGATGGCCGGTGGTTGTTGTATCAGGACTTATTCTAAAGGACAAGGAGTTGTTAGTCTTTCGTCTGGAGAGAGTGAGTATTACGCTCTTGTGAGCGGTGCCAGCAATTTGCTGGGAGAAGTTTCAACCGCCAAAGACTGGGGTTTGCAACCCGAGAGTGAAATTTTCATGGATGCAAGTGCAGGAATAGCAATGGGTTCACGTAGAGGATTAGGCAAGGCCAAGCACGTGGATACTCAATACCACTGGGTACAAGACCGCGTTGCCAAGCGCTACTGTCGGCTGAAGAAGGTCGACACTGGCGATATGCTTGCCGTCATAGAGGAGAAGATGAACAAAGATAACAAAGCCCTGCGGAATATGAACTTTCACTTTCTGGAAGGTGAACATCACCTGACACTGAAGGCATAGATGGCTTGAGTCGTGGCTATGCGTAGCTGTACATATCAAAACTCGCCTAGTTCAAAACACTTGGATTCACCGTGCCCCCGAACAGGCTCGGGAGGCGTTACATGTAGTACATATGTTTGTATATGTGCTGCAGCCATTTTAGTGCTTTTAGCTACCTTCGAGCTAACCGAGTGAAAAGGTGCTGAACAGTGCTCAGGAGTGTTCATCAGATTTAAGAGCCCAAATTCTCTGTTCATAAACAGTATAAAGCTATAGCTATCGCAACTGACGTTTCTTGTTCCTGAATTCCTTTGACGGACTATTCTGGCAGATTGTTGGTATATCATGACGCCAGGTTTGTGATAGAATCAGTGTATCAGTCGCTTCGGTTTTGCTTTTCAAACCAGTTCTGCTTAGCACACACGGGAGCGTTTGATTCTGCAGGGCAGAACCTGTTCCATGTAGCGGAATCCTTTTCCAGGCCCTTCGACAGGCTGCTTACAAGGAATGGCCTGAAGATCCAAACAGCAATGAGTGGCAGGCACAGCAAGAGTTGGGTGACAATCACCTTCGTGCTTTGGTATCCTGCATGGTCTTTTTAAGTAAAATAACTTCGAACCATTTGTTGTTTGTTGGCTGAATATTAGATAACTCTGTGGATGTTTTTATTGGTTCGATATTAGATGAGCAGATCATATTATAACTCATATAGTAAATCATTAAATCATATTATAAATGATATTCTATATACTGCAAAACATAAGATCATATAAGTTTTCATATAAGATCCATTTTCCATCCAACACTGCTGCGAAACTCGACCTTTGCCAGGCGCAGCTCTTCCGGACAGACCTGGCACGGACCATGTCAGGGGATCTCAACGCCAGCAAGTCGGACCGGTGACCGCCGGTGACCGCTGATCTCAAAACTTGCCTGGACTTTGATGAAATGAATCAAATAAATCAAATACATGCAAAATCAGATCAAAAACAGCTTAGATCAGCTTAGAATATCCAGGGTGAAATGAAATGAAATCCAGGATGAAACGGGTTTGCACAATTTGACATATTTAATAGGTCTCCTGGACATTTGGTGTTCACAGACCCCCAGAGTCGAGCTATGACTATGCAGTGCTATGCAGTGTTGAATCAGTGTTGAATCAGTGCTATACACCTGCTATGTTGCTACAAAAGTGTTGAATCAGTGTTGTTTGCCTTTTCCTGGCTGCAAAAGTGCACCAGGACCGTCTCAACGCAGGGCCAAATTTTTGGAGGCACATCACATCACCGTCTATCCGAGTCTATAGTCTATCCATCGGAACAGGATTTGAAATATTATACAATTTAATACAATTTATATCTGGTGTTTTCTGTGGCAGGAAATACTTGGTCACTTATCCATCCTCCAGAAGGAGAATGCTTTGGGACCTCCTTGGCCTCATGCTGGTGATTTGGGCCCCTTGGCTGCAGCGAATTGCAGATCCGTCGCTTCAATGAGGGCAGGTATTATCATGTATCAATATGTATCAATATGTATGATTTATAATCGCCACGATAGCTGTGGTCAGAAAGCACTATATAGCTCTTTTTTTCAGCGCCTCAGAGGACATTTACGCTATCCCGATGAATGCTTTCGAGCGAGGGCCTTGGCATGACAAGAACAGAACAGATGCCTACATTGTGATGCCCCCGAGATACAACTTGACTTGTATCCTCTGCAACATGATTTATAACATGGGTTAACATAAGTTATAACATAGGCTAACTTGAATAAATTATGTTGAATTTATAACATGAGATGTGGAGTTATAACATAAGTTATACTATCCCAAGGAAAAAATATAAAATGAAGTTATCGAAGTTACGCGGGTTAGCTATTTTTTTTTGTTCATTTTGAGTCATGTATGCCATGATAGTTTCTCAGTGCTCAAAGAGAGTTTTTTTTTCCAAACCGTCATGGCAGCTGCAGAAAATGGTGCTTCAGACTGTCTTACCCAGTCGGTGCCGCCTGCGGGCAACATCGAACGCCAACATGGAAGCAGTGAAAAAAATGGAATAGAGTCGAGACACAACATGCGCTGTATAGCCTTGCGCAGATGAGAGACTTTCAAACGCTGAATCTAAAAAAAAGAGTTTCTCTACGCTGAAGAGCCTGGATCTGGAAACGCGCCTGTGTTTTCCATCATAGGAACCCCAAACGTAGAAAACACGCATGTGTTTCCCTTCAAAAATCAAAGAAAACATGGAAACGCACATGTGTTTCTCATCACAACGTAGAACAATCAAGGAAACGCGCATGTGTTTCCACACTCCAAGCAGCCAGTCGCAAGAAAACACGCAATGTGTTTGAAATGTGTTTCCTATTGCACAGTGATACTCATCAGTTTCGATGAACTATAATATGTGTTTCCGTGACAGATTGGAAACGCGCATGTGTTTCCACCCAAGCACAGCAAACTCAGATGGAAACACGCATGTGTTTCCATGTTGCACTGCGTTTACCTTAGGAAACGCGTATGTGTTTCCAGCAGGCAGGCCGTAGAGGGTAGGAAACGCGTATGTGTTTAACATGTGTTTCTTTGTGTTTCCTGGACAAGTGCCGCTTACATTTCTTTGTCGCGCCCTTGGCCCCAATTAAAGCTGGAGAGTTTTTTCGAATCTTCAAAAAGACCGCTGAAAAGAAATTCGTTGAATATGCTTGCATGAAAAACATGCACATACCGGCATGGACCTCCGCTGAAAGCGGCACGGTTATGTTCTTGCCATGAAAACGTCGCATTTGGCGGCCAAAAACGCAAGAGAATCCTGCCACAAACGAAGAAACTGCAGAAACCAAATCATTCTATAAAAATTCATGGCATATCAAAAAAAGGGAACAAAAAAACCTCCTAAGAAGTTATCGAAGTTATAACTTAAGTTATAAATCGTATAACATAAGTTAACATAACTTCAACTTAACTTCCGTAACTCATGTTATAAGTAACATAACTTCAACTTAACTAGGGGGCATCACAATGTAGGATTAATGAAGACTTTAAGATGCTCAGCTGCCCCTATATTTCAAATTTCCTTTCATGAAAACTCAACTTTGTCAGTCTTTCACACTTGCGAGCTTTCCTGGTATTAGCTGCCTTCAAAGGGGTCTCATAGTCCGAAACCATTGTTGCAAAGGTTGACAGATATTGTCTCCTTGTACATCATGAGCTGGGGCCTTTGCAGCATTGCTTGCACTTGTTCAGTTGTTCCTTTCTTGGCCAAGTTGCCTTTCGCACAGCAGCACAGCATGCCCTATGCGCCATGGTTTGTTCTAGGACCTTGTGAGTGATTTCGGACATGCAAACCTGAGATAAGCTGAGGCTGGGTAAGCACTCTGTTTTGGACGATCGATTTTCCCACCAACTTCTTTCTAGGCGGGGTCCTCAGGAAATGTGGAAGGGAACACGAGGGAGCAACCTCAGGAGTTGGTTTCAACTCACAGTACTGTAACTTGTTGATGCTGGAGATGAGACCGAGGCTGAAAGCAGGGGCATGAACCACTGGCAACAGACACGTATGCACATATGAATCTCTGAATTGCTTTTGATGTGGCCAGGACAACCAAATCTCAACTCAAAGATGTCAACATGACATCTGAACGAGTCTTCAGCAGCACAAGTGAAACAAACTCAACATCCTGAAAAGTTCAAGCTGAGCAGGTCTAATTTTAACACCCACTGGGAATCAGGGGGACACCAGGAATACTTGTGCCATCTTGTGCCCGTTGTTTTGGCAATTTAGAGGCAAACTCAGCACAGAGCCGATCCCAACATAGCTACAGACCTTGTGCACTGCACACGTTAAGACTTACAGCTCGGCCCGGCAAAGCGCAGCACTGCACATGAAGAGGAAGCTGACTATACCGAAGTTGCAGGTGGCACGATTGGAACAGCCAGATTCTCTAGTTCCGAGTTCCGAGTCTTTTTTGGCTGTCTAGTGCTTCCTCAACTCCCAAGTACTCGTATTTTCTGAACAAACTGACTGCCACCAAACAGATGTTTTGCAATATTTTGCTTGGAAATGGTGCAGGTAAACTCCAGATCTTGCGTTTACAATCTCGCCAACACACTGACAGATGAGATGAAGAAACACCCAAAGGTGCAGTGCCAAATCGAGGGTTTGCGCTTTTGGATCTTTTGGTTTGGTTGGATTCCGACGGTTTAGCAAAATCAGTTCCAACGGTTTAGGCAAAAATCATCGTCATTCTGCTTGCTTGCACCATCAGCATCAAGTTTGACGAGGGATTGCAACTGCTGGCGCTTGTAGACCGCATTCGTGATCGTTTCAACAAGAGGCATCTAGACGAGGACCTGTGGAGTGATAACCCAGAGCTTGCACTGCAGTGCTTTGGAGGTTCACCTGGAGGCTTCTGGCAAAACGGTGGCAGAGAGCCTTGACCAACTTAACTTTTTGCCAGAGAAAGGCTCACACTTCCGATCCATCCGCATGTAGATTCGACATCACTATACATCACTAGACAATACTATACATCACTATAAATCACTTATTTTGTTTCACTTAGATTCCTCAGATCTTAGTTGGATGCCGGTTGCCTCTAGTGATAGCTCGCTGTGACCTTTGATCCTCATTTGGATCCTACAGCCCGGTCCTTTGAAGTCAAAACTAATTTGTTGCCCACATCCACACTGAAGTCAATACTATGATGTTCTTTCGATTTCTTGGAAAACTGTATCAGTGGATACTGCACCCCTTGCATTACTTGCTCTCATGTCCACCAGATCTAGACTCCTCGTAAGGACCATGCAGTATGTTTACAATCCATTCCAAGTTCCCCTTGTGATTTTATTGATTTGTATTGTTTGTTCTCAAGTTGCTGTTGATTCACCTGCCCTTTCAGGAAGTCGTTACGAATTCTGGCATTGGCATGTGCTGATTTGCAGAAAGCTACAGGATACCTGCCAGGCGTGTCCAGCGAAGGAGCAGAACAATATCATGAGATCGAACTTCCTTTGACATCTCATTTGGGTCATTTGCCAGGAATGAAACCACAACCAGCAGCATTTTGCGGTTGCTGCCAGCTGACCTAAGCAGCAACAAGCCCGTAGGCTTTGGTTTGCTGGGGCTGCGAATGGACCATTTCCAAACAACGGTCATCGACTCTCCTTGTGCTCTGCGTTTCTTGGCGCCCGTGCTACTTTCAGTCAGTTTGGGGATGTGAGGGCGATTGAAATATCAGCGAAACCAAGATCTCAACTGATTTTGCCTCATGCGGCAATCATGATGCATGCAGTACAGCTTGACATTTGATACTTGATACAAAAGCAACTTTGCTTGTTTTGCGCTCGAGTAGCTGCACCAAGCAATGCCAAGTCGCTCTAGACCCTAAAACGATACAGCATGCAGATGTTTTAGCTATTTGTGGTGGTCAAGTGGTCAAGACATGAAACACCTTTTGTAAAGGAGGTTGTGTGTAGATATCAGGTTTGGAGCGCTGTGAACGGTCTGGAAGGCTTGCTTACGAATTAATTAGATGATATCCTCATTATATAAATGGGGAGAGCAACAAGATCAACATGCCATGATTTGATTTAGCCAATCAGATTGGTAAGCTCGCAGCATTATTTGTGCCTTTCGTTTTTTTTTTTTCAGACCGAAAACTGACTCAGACTGAATTGAACCAGTGAATGAAGCTAGTTTGGGGTGAACAAAGCTAGTTCTGGGAGATTCTCAAACGCAAAGATGGTCCCAAGTTCAGGCCCGCTGGGAAGTTTAATGACACTCTGGAGCAAGGTCACTGCTGCATGTGGAGAAATGATGCTACTAAGGTAATTGGATCCGTCATGCAGGGGAACAGTTACCCGAAGACCACTAGGATAAGGCTTATATAGAATCAAATTGAATCAAGTACACAATGATCCACATCACAATTAAATCATATTTGAGTAATTTTTTACGAAAGCCAGCCGGGAAGCTGGCTAGTTGCTATTTGCGAACGAAGTGAGAATAGGGGGTCTGGGGGGGGTAGTTGCCAAATGGGTCAAAAATCGGGAAAATAGGTGGTGATTTTAGTGAGAAAAAAGTATGGTTTCGCAGGGTAATGTACCAGGCGGCAAAACAGTGACGGTGGGTATCGATTCCCCCTAGGTCCGGTTTTCTGGGGTTTTCTGGGCTCAGTCAATGGACAGATAGATGGGCCAGCTAGTTAGAGGAGATTGGAGAGAGAAGGACATTGGGTGAAAAGTATGTGCAAGAAGGGTTTCTGGGTGAAGAGTCTCGGGGTGAAAAGTATATGGGTGAAAAATCTGCGCAAGAAGAGTTTCTGGGTGAAGAGTCTCTGGATGAAAAATCTGTGCAAGAAGAGTTTCTGATGTTTCTGGGTGAAGAGTCTCTGGGTGAAAAGTATATTTGTGAAAAGTATGTGCAAGAAGAGTTTCTGGGTGAAGAGTCTCTGGATGAAAAGTATATGGGTGAAAAGTATGTGCAAGAAGAGTTTCTGGGTGAAGAGTCTCTGGTTGAAAAGTATGTGCAAGAAGAGTTTCTGGGTGAAGAGTCTGTGGGTGAAAAGTTTATGGGTGAAACGTATGTGCAAGAAGAGTTACTGGGTGAAGAGTTTCTGGATGAAAAGTCTGTGCAAGAAGAGTTTCTGGGTGAAGAGTCTCTGGGTGAAAAGTATATTGGTGAAAAGTATGTGCAAGAAGAGTTTCTGGGTGAAGAGTCTGTGGGTGAAAAGTATATGGTTGAAAAGTATGTGCAAAAAGAGTCTCTGGGTGAAAAGTATATGGGTGAAATGTCTGTGCAAGAAGAGTTTCTGGGTGAAGAGTCTCTGGGTGAAAACTATGTACAAGAAGAGATTCTGGATGAAGAGTCTCTGGATGAAAAGTATATGGGTGAAAAGTATCTGCAAGAAGAGTCTCTGGGTGAAAAGTATATGGGTGAAAAGTATGTGCAAGAAGAGTTTCTGGGTGAAGAGTCTCTGGGTGAAAAGTATATGGGTGAAAAGCATGTGCACGAAGAGTCTCTGGGTGAAGAGTCTGTGCAAGAAGAGTTTCTGGTTGAAGAGTCTCTGGGTGAGAAGTATATGGATGAAAAATATGTGCAAGAAGAGTTTCTGGGTGAAGAGTCTCGGGGTGAAGAGTCTCTGGGTGAAAAGTATGTGCAAGAAGAGTTTCTGGGTGAAGAGTCTCTGGTTGAAAAGTATATTGGTGAAAAGTATGTGCAAGAAGAGTCTCCGGGTGAAAAGTTTATGGGTGAAAAATATGTGCAAGAAGAGTTTCTGGGTGAAGAGTCTCGGGGTGTAAAGTATATGGGTGAAAAGTATGTGCAAGAAGAGTTTCTGGGTGAAGAGTCTCTGGGTGAAAAGTATATGGGTGAAAAGCATGTGCACGAAGAGTTTCTGGGTGAAAAGTCTGTGCAAGAAGAGTTTCTGGTTGAAGAGTCTGCGGGTGAAAAGTATGTGCAAGAAGAGTTTCTGGGTGAAGAGTCTGTGGGTGGAAAGTTTATGGGTGAAAAGTATGTGCAAGAAGAGTTTCTGGGTGAAGAGTCTCTGGGTGAAAAGTCTGTGCAAGAAGAGTTTCTGGGTGAAGAGTCTCTGGGTGAAAAGTATATGGGTGAAAAGTATGTGCAAGAAGAGTTTCTGGGTGAAGAGTCTCTGGGTGAAAAGTATATGGGTGAAAAGTATGTGCAAGAAGAGTTTCTGGGTGAAGAGTCTCTGGGTGAAAAGTATATGGGTGAAAAGTATGTGCAAGAAGAGTTTCTGGGTGAAGAGTCTCTGGGTGAAAAGTATATGGGTGAAAAGTCTGTGCAAGAAGAGTTTCTGGGTGAAGAGTCTCTGGGTGAAAAGTATATGGGTGAAAAGTATGTGCAAGAAGAGTTTCTGGTGCATGAAGAGTCTCATGGTTGCAACCAAGATGGTGTCAAGAGAATGAGTTTCTGTGGTTAAGAGTTCCATCTGAGGTGAAGGGGAAGAAGAAAAAAAAAAAAGAGAGGGGAGAATAGTGGGGAAAGGGGGAGAGAAGGGATAGGGAGGAGGGAGGCAAAGGGGGCTGGGGAGGGATAATAAGGTATGTAAGAGCAGAGGTAAAGGTTTTTATGGGGGTGAAACAGGTAGTGTTGTCAAGAAGACGTTATCTTGGTAAGAGAGTCTCTGGTAAAAGTATATGGGTTGAACTTATTTGGAACTGAGAGCGTTTCTGGGGGAAATTCTGGTGTGAAAAGTATGTGAAAGACGAGTTTCTGGGTGAAAAGTATGTGCAAGAAGAGTTTCTGGGTGAAGAGTTTCTGGGTGAAAAGTCTGTCCACGAAGAGTTTCTGGGTGAAGAGTCTCTGGGTGAAACGTATACGGGTGAAAAGTACGTGCAAGAAAAGTTTCTGTGTGAAGAATCTCTGGGTGAAAAGTGTGTGGGTGAAAAGTATTTGCAAGAAGAGTTTCTGGGTGAAGAGTCTCTGGGTGAAAAGTATATGGGTGAAAAGTATGTGCAAGAAGAGTTTATTGGTGAAGAGTCTCTGGGTGAAGAGTCTCTGGGTGAATAGTATGTGCAAGAAGAGTTTCTGGGTAAAGAGTCTCTGGGTGAAGAGTCTGTGCAAGAAGAGTTTCTGGCTGAAGAGTCTCTGGGTGAAAACTATGTACAAGAAGAGTTTGTGGATGAAGAGTCTCTAGATTAAAAGTATATGGGTGGAAAGTATATGGGTGAAAAGTATGTGCAAGAAGCGTTTCTGGGTGAAGAGTCTCTGGGTGAAAAGTAAAAATATGTGCAAGAAGAGTTTCTGGGTGAAGAGTCTCTGGGTAAAAAGTATATGGGTGAAAAGTATGTGCAAGAACAGTTTCTGGGTGAAAAGTATGTGCAAGAAGAGAGTGAAAAGTATATGGGTGAAGAAGTATATGGGTGAAAAGTATGTGCAAGAAGAGTTTCTGGGTGAAGAGTCTCTGGGTGAAAAGCATATGAGTGAAAAGTATGTGCAAGAAGAGTTTCTGGGTGAAGAGTCTCTGGGTAAAAAGTATATGGGTGAAAAGTCTGTGCAAGAAGAGTTTCTGGGTGAGTCTCTGGGTGAAAAATCTGTGCAAGAAGAGTTTCAGGGTGAAGAGTCTCTGGGTGAAAAGTGTGTGAAAGAAGAGTTTCTGGGTGAAAAGTTTATGGGTGAAAAGTATGTGCAAGAAGAGTTTCTGGGTGAAGAGTCTCTGGATGAAAAGTGGGTGAAAAGTATGTGCAAGAAGAGTTTCTTGGTGAAGAGTCTGTGGGTGAAAAGTATATGGGTGAAAAGTATGTGTAATAAGAGTTTCTGGGTGAAGAGTCTCTGGGTGAAAAGTATATGGGTGAAAAACATGTGCAAGAAGAGTTTCTGGGTGAAGAGTCTCTGGGTGAAAAGTATGTGGGTGAAAAGTATGTGTAATAAGAGTTTTTGGGTAAAGAGTCTCTGGGTGAAAAGTATATGGGTGAAAAGTAAGTGCGAGAAGAGTTTCTGGGTGAAAAGTATATGGGTGAAAAGTATGTGCAAGAAGAGTTTCTGGGTGAAGAGTTCTGGTGAAAAGTATATGGGTGAAATGTATGTGCAAGAAAAGTTTCTAGGTGAAGAGTCTCTGGGTGAAAAGTATATGGGTGAAAAGTATGTGCAAGAAGAGTTTCTGGGTGAAGAGTCTCTGGGTGAAAAGTATGTGAAAGAAGAGTTTCTGGTTGAAAAGTATGTGCAAGAAGAGTTTCTGGGTGAAGAGTCTCTGGGTTTAGTATATGGGTAAACAGCATGTGCAAGAAGAGGTTCTGGGTGAAGCGTCTCTGTGTGAAAAGTATATGGGTGAAAAGTATGTGCAAGAAGAGTTTCTGGGTGAAGAGTCTCTGGGTGAAAAGTATATGGGTGAAAAACATGTGCACGAAGAGTTTCTGTGTGAAGAGTCTCTGTGTGAAAAGTATATGGGTGAAAAGTATGTGCAAGAAGAGTTTCTGGGTGAAGAGTCTCTGGATGAAAAGGGTGAAGAGTCTCTGGGTGAAAAGTATATGGGTGAAAAGCATGTGCACGAAGAGTTTCTGGGTGAAAAGTATGTGCAAGAAGAGTTTCTGGGTGAAGAGTCTCTGGGTGTAAAGTGTATTGGTGAAAAGTATGTGCAAGAAGAGTTTCTGGGTGAAAAATCTCTGGGTGAAAAGTATATGGGTGAAAAGTATGTGCAAGAAGAGTTTCTGGGTGA